GGTGAAACAACATTAAAAAAGTATCACCAAATGTCTATTTTCTTATATTGTATAAACGAATTTTTTCTTAATTATAAACAAACTAAATGCATTTTGTTTAAGATCTGCTCGTTTATTAAATGAATTATAAAATCTTACTCAAAATCTTTTATTTGTTTTAATAAATGAACAAAACTGAATTCATTAAGAACTATTTATTAAACACTCTATTCGTTTACAATCTTACCTCAAATTTTAGTAAAAAAATAGACTTAAACTCTTAACATTTATTACATGTAAATAATATTATAATATTTTATTTTTATCTAATTATAATTATAAATTGTAAAAATAATTAAAAAAATTAATTGGAACAATTTAGTTATTCTATAACTTAAGTTGATATATAAAAAATTCAACTAGAATAACAGAAAATTAATAATGACTTTCACGTGTTTATCCACAGTGTCAAATAATAAATCTTATTCTTCCATTGTTCTAATTGAATTATTTTGATTGATTTTAAAAGTTTATAATTAAAAAAATAATTATATTTTCATTCGCAGGCAATAAAAGGATCAGATTTTCTTTTTTTTTTTTTTTTTTTGCTAAAATTTAAAGATACATTTAAATATTAAACCAAAAATTAGAAAAGGATCACAAGAAATTTTTTGGCACTGAGGAAAGGCGACAGCTGTGTCTGCCATGAACTTGATTTGTTTTTAGTGAAATCTTTGATCTCGTGAATTGTAGCAGATTAGAAGTAGCCTATGACAGTACATTTATGGCCTACTCTTTCGTGATGAAGACCACAAAAAATGGTGGGTTTATTTGTTTTATATTACTATCGTGAATTAATATATATAAGTTATCTAATATGTTTTACAAAAAAGATTAAATATTAACAAATATTTTAATACATACTAATAAATAATCAATTTAGTACTGTAGAATTATGATTTCTGTTTTTTTATGACAAATACTAGCCTTCTTTCCCGCGCATTATCTCGTTAGTAAATTTTTTTATTCAAATAATTTTTTAATAATTTATATTTTTTAACATACATTAATATATGCTATTATGAAAATAATTTTATTTTATGGATCATGATAATTATAATAATGAAATAAGATTTAAAAATTAATATATATTAAAAGTAATTATTTATAAATTATATAATTTATATTATGATTAAACTTAATACGTATAATTAATATATTTTAGTTTTTATAAATGTTTTATTTTTTATATAACTTAACGTATATTAATATTTGTGATGTTTGAAAATATGTTAATATTATTAAAACATTCATTCGTAAAATAATTTGATTTAATTTCTAATAACAAAAATTTTAATTGATATTGAAAGCATAATTTGTTTCCATTTATTTAAATGGTTATTTATAAACATATTACATTTTGAACTTGGTATACAAAAAATATATAAGTTCTAAAATAATTTTGACAACATTTATGTAATAACAATTAACATTTATTGAATATTTTTATTTTTATTTAAATTGATAATATCAATTAGATTTTGCAACGAAAAACCATATTAATTAGAAGACCATTTTTTATAGAGTATTATCTCTTAAAATTTAAAAGTATCAAACAATGTTTTTTTATTTTTTTTGAGGCCTCAAAATTATTCCTCATCTAAAAAGTTTTTCACTCACAATTAATTTTTATCTCTCAAACAAGTCCAATGCATTTGAACAACTAGATCACTTAGACTATGTTTGGATGAGCAGTAAAGAGTTTTCATTGCACTACACCGTCTATCGAAATATTAAATATAGTTTTAGCCAAAAAAAAAAAAAATTGGCTTCGTTATAGCTTTTAAACGGTACTTTTTTTTTAAGTTGGACAAAAAAATCTTTTTATGTACTTGAAAAAAATATTGAATGCAAGCAGGATTTAAAATACATATATGCCAATTGTTGAATATATATAGCTGATTATACCCAGAAAGATGCAGGGTTCCATATCCACTGAATATCAATTTTTGAACAAACTAAGATCAAAGGTCAATCAAACCTTTATTAAATTAATAGAGCTACAAACTTAGACTTGGTAGCCTGCTGGTCTAACCTAAACGAGTGTGTTTTGCTCCTGATCTGCCAATAAAGACAGTGATTACGTAACTGAACCAAAAACTATTTCACCTAGAATTTTTTATTATCATTTTATAAATATTCAATCAAAATAAAATATTATATTCAAGATTTACAAGTTATAAATATGGGTGTCATAAAAAATTTAAAAATAATTTTTTTGGATACTGTCTAATTTTAAATTATAATTGATAAGTTGTTAATACAATAATTATATATAATATGTTAAAAAAAATTAATACAAAACCAATGAATCAATTAGGCTTAAGATTCATTTGATTGAACAATAAAATTTGTTTCAATAAAATCAAAAATAATAATATTGATAAAATTAATTACTATAATGATGTGATTAAAATCAATAATGAATAAATATTTAGATAAAAAAATAATATCTATGAATTGAATTGTATTAAAAATATAAAATGGCCATTAAAAATATTATGAAAGTTTGTATTTTTAAAAGAGAATTAGAACTTTAATCATTATCTATTCAAGTGTTTTTTTTTTTTTTAGTGAAGAATTGCATTTAGTTATCTCCATTCTCCGTGCAAGTTTGTTTGTTTGTACGGATTAAAATCAAGCAAATATACATGGATATTGCGAAAGAAGCATTATGCAGGTCCGGGCTTTAGAGATAATTTGAATACTAGAAAAATACAATGCAGACAAGTTGTAATTAATGATGAAAGAAATTTTTGAGAAAGATTTTAAAGCCACGATTGCTCGCAGGGCTGCATCCCATGGCATAATTACGTGCGTGGCTCATGTGCTAAGGACTTAACTGTTACTGAATTATTGAAGGTGCCTGGTTCATGTGGTGTGGACGGATCTATTAGAGATGTTTTGCCCTCTTTTCTTGGGGTATGGTTTTTTTGGGTGACGAAAAGGATTGGGAGGGGGCAAGTAGAGGGTAGGACGAATGGGTTCACGGGCGACTTTTGTCTAATAAAGCGAAGGAAGAGGATGAAAATGAGGTGTTGAGTCTTGACAGGTAGGAGAAACTGGGGCCCATGCCACTTATACTGCTTTTGGCAACAACCTTCACGGGTGCTACAACCCTACTTCTAAATCTCATATATTTTACTTAAATAAAAATAAAATAATGCCATGTCCAAACAAATTTTAAAATTATTATTATTATAATTTAACAGACCAAAAAACGACAAATAGGTTCCTCTGAAAAATTAGAGGCCAGCAAAAGAGAAAGATCTTTTCTATTGCTCTCATCCACGAAAAAGATTCATCCTATTTTGTTAGTTTCCACCCTTCCAAATCATTGAAAGTTTTATATTTTTTTTTTCCATGATAAGAACTGAGTTTTAAAAATAACAAACATTTTATTCAAACATCTCCTATCATCTTTGTGATAATGGAGTTTATAAGAGAAAAAAAAAATGATGACGATGATAATGATGTTCAAATCAAAACATACCATTCATGCATTTAAAGTTTAAACAGATAAAAAAACAGGTTTGGTGGCATGCTTTATTCTAGCCACGCAATGCATGTAAATAGATTCTTCCAAACTCAGATTATATATTCTATTTTTAATTTTGTCAAAAACAAAAAGCAAGCCTTCTAAATGTAATAAGACATTCGAATGTCTTCGGTTTTAAAATGAACTATGGAGAGGCAAAATTTGACAACTGATTCATCTTAGAACTGTTTTTTTTTTTTTTTAATTTACATTTGAACCTTTTATCTTTATAGCAAAAATTGTTTTCTATTGATAATTTTTAAGCGTAAACGTTAAAGTCATGTGAATTAATTGAAAAATTAGTTGATCATGTCAAATGCTAATTTGAGTGTTATTATTTTTTAATTCATGTGACATAGAACACGGCTAGGAATGTTGAATTTTTGCAAATATTTTCATTCTCCTAATCAGCTAGTAACAAAGCACTGCTCATTAACTTTAGTCAGCAAATTGGATAAACAAAGACGTTATTGATTTGATCATTTATCCGAACAATTTGAGGCATATAAAATTGGAGGGGTTACTTTCGTTTTGAGCCACAATTTGATTTCAGCCACATGTTAAGAGATTCCATGGGGACCATTATTTATCTTGTCAAATTTCCCCAGAATTGCTGGCCTAGTATTGATCATGCATGCCACCCATTCAAATTTGTCATCTTTAATCATCTTTATTTTGTAAATTAAAATAGCCTATATTTTTTAATTCAAATCTTGAAATGTTACGAGCTTGCACCATACCACGTGAAATGCAAATTTCCATGACACATAAAATAATCTTGAAATGGCAGCTTGCACGTGAACGACGTAAACAATTCAACAAGAAGTTTCACTGCACTATGTTTAACTTAAACTATTTGCCCTGTTATTGCGACGGATTTAGAAATTTTTTTTAATGTTTAATTATGATATTTAAAAAAATTAATATGATAAATTATTATATTATTATGATTGTTTATGACAAAATCTCATTGTTAAAACGACAGTTATATTATTTTTTTAATATATATAACTAAATAATCATTCATTTAAGAATTACACACAAATTTATCAATTTTACCAATTGAAAAAAAGTGTTTAGAGAAAAAATTTAGAATATCAGGAAAAATTTTGTTTATTATTTTTCAGGATATCCATATACACTTAGTTTAAGCCTTTCATCCGGCTCTGCTAGTGGTACTGGTAAGAATGTAGTGAGATTGAAATAAAGATCTTACATTGGATAAGTTTGAGTTATTGTACTGCTCCCTTGAAAAAAAAAAAATGCTCCACACTTGTATAGTTTCACTGTTGTTAAATTGAGGCCAAAATCTTTGGATTAAAGTAGCGACATTTCAATTTAAAGAATTGGATATTCTAGTGCTTATTTTCAGTAAAAGTTGAGGCAGATTGAGGCTGGGGGAGTAAACAAAAAAAAAAAAAAAAAAGATGGAAAAAAGAATCAGGGAGCTTTCTTCAATGAAGAAACAAGGCTGTGAGATTGAAGCAGTTGGTATCAACTACGAGATTTATAGAAAAAAGAGAGAAAACCCTTCTCAAATCTTCAACAAAAACCAGCAGCAAGAAGTTGATCAAGAACTACAACAACAGCCATCAACGAAGTTTGAAGAACCATGCCCTGGAATCCGACTTGTCCTAAAAGATGTAAACTGCAAAGCAAAACCATGGGAAATCCTCGCCATTGTTGGTCCAAGTGGAGCAGGAAAATCTTCCTTACTTGAGATCCTAGCTGGGAAACTCACCCCGCAAAGTGGTTCCATTTTCGTCAACCAAAGCCCGGTTGATAAAGCTCAGTTCAAGAAAATCTCTGGCTATGTCGCCCAAAAGGACAACCTCTTTCCCCTCCTAACAGTTGAAGAAACCCTCATGTTCAGTGCCAAGTTACGTTTAGGACTTCCTCAAGCTCAACTGAGCTCTAGGGTCAGGTCCTTGATCCAGGAACTTGGACTGGAGGACGTAGCCATGACTCGAGTTGGTGATGATAGGATCCGTGGTATATCTGGTGGAGAAAGGCGCCGGGTTTCTATTGGTGTAGATGTGATTCATGATCCCAAAGTGTTAATTCTTGATGAACCAACTTCAAGTCTTGATAGCAGATCTGCACTACAAATTATTGACATGCTGAAGGTAATGGCTGAAACCAGGGGAAGGACAATAATTCTAAGCATTCACCAGCCTGGTTTTCCCATTGTGAAGTTATTCAGTTCGATACTTTTACTGAATAATGGCTCCGTTTTGCATCAAGGCACGGTGGATCAGCTTGGTGCAAATTTGAGGGAAATTGGATTGCAGCTTCCTCTTCATGTCAATATTGTCGAATTTGCTATTGAGTCTATTGAAGCTATTCAACAACAGCGAAAGGGACAGCAACAAGTGCAAGAACAGTTTTTTTCTGTGCCGTCACAACAAAGGAAAGGCGGAGACTGTGAGAGCAGAAGTGGCAAGTTTACCCTTCAACAGCTATTTCAGCAATCCAAGGTTGTTGACGAAGAAACTGTCAATGTTGGGATTGATTTTCCAAGAGATTTCGCGAATTCAAGATTGCAGGAAACCATGATTCTCACCCATAGGTTCTCGAAAAACATATTCAGGACCAAGGAGCTCTTTGCATGCAGGACAATTCAAATGCTGATTTCTGGGCTTGTTTTAGGCTCCATCTTTCATAATGTCAAAGATGATCTTACTGGAGCAAAGGAAAAAGTAGGTCTGTTTGCATTTATATTGACATTCTTGCTATCTAGCACCACAGAAGCACTGCCAATCTTTTTGCAAGAAAGGGAGATTCTAATGAAGGAAACCTCATGTGGAAGCTACAGAGTTTCGTCATATGCCATAGCTAACGGGCTTGTTTATCTACCCTTCCTACTCATCCTAGCCATTTTATTCTCAATTCCATTATACTGGCTGGTGGGACTAAATCCGAATTTCATGGCATTCATGCACTTCCTGCTGTTGATTTGGTTGATTCTCTATACTGCAAATTCAGTTGTGGTGTGTTTCAGTGCTCTTGTGCCTACTTTCATTGTTGGAAATTCAGTGATATCCGGTGTGATGGGGTCCTTCTTTCTGTTCTCCGGATACTTCATATCAAAACATGGGATTCCAAATTATTGGATTTTCATGCATTACATATCCCTGTTTAAGTATCCATTTGAAGGGTTTCTGATAAATGAGTTCTCAAACTCAGAGAAGTGCTTGGAGTACATGTTTGGAAGTTGCTTGGTGAGCGGAGAGGCAGTACTAAGAGAAGAAGGGTACGGGGAAGAGAGCAGGTGGAGGAATGTGGTGATAATGGTGTGCTTCATCTTGGTTTACAGGTTCGTTTCTTATGTCATTCTTAGATGTAGATGTTCGCAGAGGAGTCTCAGGGCAGCACTTGCTTGAACAGTCCTCTCTCTCTCTCTCACGTGTATGTCAACAAGATGGTTCACATGATTTTGGAATTACATAATTAAGAGCAGCCTAAGGAGAAAAAAAAAAATGTATTATTCCCTGCTCTACTCTTGTTCAAGAGGCTTGTCCTAGTATTGTCTTCTTATTTTACTTTTTTTCAAGCCACAAAGTATAACTTTTCTTGAATTTTGATTCTGCAAGATATTGTATGCCTTACACTGTTTGACTATTCAAGGTCTGCAAAAGATATTACTCCTTCCATTTCATTTGGCATAACTTATCCTATTTGACTTTCCTAGATTATAAAAAATTATCTGTGTTTTATATTAAAATTTAAAATAAAAAATTAAAAGAATTAGATTTTCAGAAAAAAAAAAAGAAAAAAAGAAAGAGACATAGTTTGGAAACATGGAAGAAGTACTTGTTTGGCTGAATTAATTTATCTATCTTCTAGGTTAGTCGAGCAGGAATTTAGATCATGTTAACAGCCACTGCTGTAATCGGGCCTACAATTATTAGGGTGGAAATTTGAGTTCATACCCTTTTTTGGGGACTTGAGGTTGCAAAGATTTAAATTCTAATAATTAGAATTAAGAATCTAGCATTCTACCAACAGTCTATGCGACTGACGGCAATTTGGTTCATACTCATTTACACCTAATAGGCCAACACCAGCTCTAAAAACATCCAACCAATCTACCTGTTTACTAAACAAAATGGATCAATCCATTTAACCCAGTATTTTGTACGTTATATATGGGTGCCTAGTGGGCAGGCAGGTACCACCACTGCCCATAACCATTAGTAAAATTGCATTCATCTTTGAATGGCTAAAACACTATGGTGATGAGATATACTTTGACCACTATTAGTTATATTTTAGCAATATTTCAGTAATCAGAAAAAGCATATAATTCATCATAAATTTGCAGCATAGCAAAATAAAGCAAGAACATGAGACCAAAATTAATATCTACTTCAATAACAAATAATCCCATTCTCAAAGTGGTTAATAACAAAATCATGAAGTCCTGAACAGAAAAAGAAAATGTTAGAAAATTAAAGCAAATAAAACTGAGTACCACAGCTGTAAACTGCTATAACTTGATTTAATTCCAACTGAACTTAAGACTTGATAGAAAGCTGTATCACTCAAGTAAATGGGCTGGGAGAGGCTGCTTTAACTAAGAAACTACGAGCATGCCTTCCAAGTTACAAGAGCCAAGGATCAATTAACAGGCAGGCATTTTGACCTTGATTCTTGCGGTGACAAAAAATTCTAGTCATACATATGTCGTTTATGTTTTTTCTCTAGCGTTATGATAAAGCTAAGCAATTGTCAACACACAGAGACACCTTCTTGAATCTGTAAATTTAATTTAAAACTTTCAGAAGAGATTATTGAGGAAAGGATCAAAATTATAAGTACCTAAATATCATGGAAATATAGTTTTAATAGGACAAATGAAGAGAGAGTGAAAATATTTTTTGCTCTGGAAATGAAAAATATTTTAATATTGGAGGGAGAAGGGGGGAAAATAAAAAGGGGTGGATTGGATACTGGGCATGAGTGGGTCAGGCGTTCAAGTATAGTTTAAATGGGTGAACTTGACCCGGTTGTAACCACCCATTTGACACCCTTTAGAGTAAGTTATTTAAAGGACATGCTACTAAGAAAGGGAAATGATTACTTAATACACGAAAATATTAGTTCGAGCTAGAATCAAGGCTATCCGTACACAAGAGGTGTGGAGCCCTGGGACAAATATTTTCTTTCTGCTTCCTTCTTCTTGTTCATATTATCAGAAAGAATCTAACGGGTTGGTGAAACAGACAATGCAAGAAATGAGGAATTTCAAACATGTATAAATTTAGCAACATCACTTTGAAAATGTAATTACCCAGCAGATGCTCCAGGAGGAAAATTGTTTATAAGGATGATTCAGATACTCTATGCTCCTCTAAAGCTTCTTCATCACTAGCATGCGGTAGTAAGCTCACTTCATTTATCTTGCGAGAGTTTTGAGAACCAAATAGATTTACTCCTCCGGATACATTTTATCTTTCACCATGAAATCATGTACATAACCCAATATCTCAATCCAGCTACAACCAGGTTGCTTGAAGCTTCCCACCACATACTTCCCTAAGGTAATGTTGCCATGTAAACTTCACAAGCACAAAGCAAAGATCCCAAGACAGCAACGTCAGGCTTCAAGAGATGTTGCCTTTATTGAATTCTTTGCTTCCTTGAGGAAGCCAGCTTGATCAAGGAAATCAAACCATGCCTTTATAATGATCCTTCCCTGTACCAAACTATGTTGCCTGCTCATACAGATGAAATAATTAATATGTCCCTCTTTAACTAGCCCAGCATGATTGACTACAGGCACAATGAACACCAACATGGGAACATGATTTACTTTCTAATACCCTGGAAGAATTCAAAAGCCTTAGCGACATTCCACATCCTGCTAGTATCATGGCATTCCATGAGAGCAATCCCTTTTCATCAGGATTTTCATGTACACGTCTAAGAGAGAGTTTTCCCCAAAATTACCATATTCTTCTCAAAACCGAGAAAAATCCATGCTTCAAGACATGTATGTGAGCTTGCCTTCCAAGCTGCAGCACAAGCATTCAGTAGATTGCCAAAGGTTTAAGGGTTGGCCAAACATATCAAAGACATGTCCTCTTTAGGAAGCAAAAGAGTCTAAGGGCTTCTTCATCTCCCCCATTCTGCAATCAGTGTAACCATAAAAGTTTCTTCAAATCTATCTTCCCGAGCAAAGCAAGCTGACTATCAAAAAAATCAGAAAATATTACAAAATTGTTATTAATGAATTCCATGAGCACCAATCATGCTTAAATGTTGACACAAAATCCCCACAGCCTCATTACGAAAACCCCATTTGATAACATAGACAAGAAAACAATGTTTCTCTGGAGCATTTTGTCAAATACCTTCGAAGACACATTTGCGATACACATCAATAAACCAATTGAAGATAAAAGTCTCCGCAGCAAAATGGGGTTTTGATAGGATATCAAAAAGTAATCAGAAAGATCAGCAGAAGGAGAGGATTAGGGCAATCAGAGATAGAAAACACCTTCTAGGGCACAAGTTCCTGAACTCGGACACAAGTAATCTTTACTGATATTTTTAATTTATATTTTTTTTAAAAAAAAATCCTGAGCTTGATTAAAGCTTCTTAAAATAAATAGGTTCTGATAAGTAAGTTTAAGAGTCATATTATGTGTAAAAAAGATATCAAATAAGAGTTCCATCATGTGAGAAAAAGATATTAGCATCGATGGCACTCGTCCAATATGGTATTAAATAATTTTAAATCATTTTAAAACGTCGTAGCTAAATAGTCTTTTTATTTTTATTTTACTTGTTTTAATTCTATCTTTTATATTTTAAAAATTTTTAAGTCTTTCCTATCTTGCAATTTTTAAAATTTTTTCACTTCAAAAATATTTCTTAGATAATTTATTCACTTAAAAAAAGTTTTATCGTCAAACTTATTTTAATTCATTTATTTAATTTTCTTTTTCTATTTTTTTATTTTAATTTATTTATTTTATTAAAAATACATTTAAACTTTCACTATACTAAAATATTTTTAAAATATTTTTCTTTTAAAAATTTTTAAAAAATCCATAATTCTTGATTTCTTAAAACTTCACCATCAGGTTTACTTTATTCTTATTTTAAAAAATTTTATTATTTTTAAAATTTATCATTTGTATTTGTATTTTTACCATGCAGGAAAATAAATGTTAATTTCATTATTAAAATTTTATTTAATTTTTTCATCATTCTAACAAAATTTAAAAATAAATTTCTAACCTAGAAATTTTTTAAAAATCACCATTTTTAATTTTTTTTAGAACTTCATCATTAAAATAATTTCCTTTTACTTTCAAATTTTTAAATTTTACTTTGTTTTCTTATACCTTTATTGTTGGTTGAAAATAAATATCAATTATTAAAATTTAAATCTATATTATCTATCATTCTAAAAATTGAAAAAAGCTTTTCACCTAAAATTTTTAAAAAATCAATAATACTTGGATTTTAGAATTTCATTATCGGAATAATTTCTATTCATTTTCAAAAATTACATTTTTTACTTTTTGTTCTTGATTTGAAAATAAATATAAATTATTTTTTATTAAAATTTTCATTTAAAATTTTCACCATTTTAAAAAATGTTTCACTTAATAATTTCTAAAAAATCAACCGTTCTTAATTTTTTAAAATTTCAATCTTGAAATAATTATCATTTCTTTTTAAAAATTTATAAAAAAACTTCATTTTGAATTTTGAATTTACTATTTTTTATTTAAAAATAAATAAAAATTATTTTCATTAAAATTCTCATTTAAAATTTTCACCATTCTAAAGAACTTAAAAGAAAACTTTTCACCTAAAAATTTTTTATAAAAAAATATCCATTTTTTTATTTTTTAAAAATTTTATCATCAAAATAACTTTCAAATATATATATATATATATATATATAAATTGCATGATTTACAAGAAAATTTAATTTATTAATTGTTATTTAACTTATATATCTAATTTTATTACTTATAAACACATTTCTAATTTAAGAACTAAATATATACAAAAGTAAATAAATAGATAAGTAAAAAAGCAAAAAAAAAATTTAATAATTAATAACATCAATGGTTTCTAAACTTTGACCCAAATTTTATTTTGATTTTTAATCATTAAAAAATTTCAATTGCTTAAAATTGTTATAATTTGATCTTTTTCATTTAAGGAACTGTTTAAATTTATTGTCAATTGGTGTCATATATATCATATTAATTGACATATCACGTGATAAATAGAAGGATTAAAATTGAATTTTATTCAAAATTTAGAGATTAAGAATACAACTATCTGAATTTTTATTTCAAATATAATTTTATACAATATTCAATATATTAAATTTAAAATTATTTTTTTATTTTTTTATTTTAATAAATTTATTAGTTAAATATTTTTTGTTTTGCATAAAAAATATATATTCAAAAATTAAAACTAACTTAAAAGTTTTTTAATTTTTTTGAAAAAATTCCGTATCATTGTACAAATTAAAAGCCACTTTATATTAAAAATATTATTTTACTAGTAAATCATATTTGAAAATATTATTTTTATCCAAAAATTTTATTTTTTATTAAAATATTAAATGTTGTTATCTTTTCCTTTTTCTAATATATTTTAGAAAAGATATTTTATTAAAAATAAAAAGAAAAAATAATTTTTTACATTTCATTTATATTTTATAAAATATATAATTTAAAATAATTTTTATTTTTTTATCATGGTACTATTTGTCTATAAAATACTATATAGAAAATATATTTAAAAATTAAAATTTAGTTATAATTTTGAAAATCATTTTTTAAAAAATTCTATATCATTTTAAAACATTAAATAAAATTTTCAATATAAATTTTAAAAGTTAAATAAAAAATTTTATATCGTTTTAAAATATTAAGTATAAATTTTCATATTGATTAAAACATGGATCTATTAATCTAATCAAAAATCTTTTTGCTATCAAAAAAATTATTTTGAATATATTTTTTATTAGAATTTTATATTTATAAAAAATAAATTTTTATTTTCAATAATTTGATTTCTTCTCCTTACCGGATCAAAGACGCTAATAGTCATTTTGATTGTCTATTTTTTAATTTTTTTATAAATAAAAAATTTAATTAAGAATAGGTTCAAAATAAATTTTTTTAATAAAAAAAAATTATGATAGATCAATTTTTAAAATGATTTGAAAATTTTTATTTAATTTTTTAAAATGATATGAAATTGCCTTCTTGATGGTGGAGCTAGTTCAAGCTCAGGGGTTTGGGTAGTAGTAGGCTAGGCTAGGCTTTGATAGTTGATTATGAATTTTTTTTTTTTTCCTTTTTATGAGTTCTCTGTTGCTGGTATTTACATAGTGAATTCATACCGACGGAGATATGATTTTGGATTAAGAGGGGATTTAAAATTTTAATTTTGAAAAATTTCTTGTTCGATTGATCCTGCCTTCAATTTTAATTGAAAGATTTTGATCAGAATGTGATTTTGTTATTTTTAATCGATTCCCTTCTCAAATTTTGATTTTTTGATTTTCTATTTTTATTATTTTTTATCCTTTATATAATCCTTTTTTAATTTTTAAAATAAAGGAAAATAATAAATAAATAAAATAAAAAGGAAAGTAAAAGAGAATTGGGCTTTTGGAAATATTATTGGCCAGAATATTATAACACAATCTCAAATTCCAAATCAGATTCCAAGCTGGCCAGATTAAAGCCAAAAAAACCCCAAGTTTATTAATGAGTTCAAAACAAATTTAAGAGATCCCGAATTAAACGGGATATTTTACGTAACACACAATTTCTTAGATCAAATCCACGGTTCACCATTCCATTAACTTCGAAGAAGAGAGGCTGTTGAGCCCTTTTTTTTATTATTATTATGTTGGTTTTTGCGTATCGTTCCGTTTACAATTTGGCCAACGTTGCAGTAGACAATAAATTTTAATAACTGTTTCCTCCCGCGTTTTTAATTAACTGCCTTGATAGGGTTTTTTATTTAATTTTATTTATTATTTTTTATTAGAGAGACTTTTATAGAGCTTTTTTTTTTTTTTTTTGGAAAATCATTGATCGTTAAGTTTTGGATTAAAAGAGATTAATAAAAGATAGAACTATAAAAAAAATTTAATAAATTTTTAAATAATAGATTAACAATATTAATTTAAAAATTAATAAAATTAATCTCTACAAACAAAATTTAGTAAATATTTATCGAATTGTTTAAAACTTATCATAATAATTAATTTCATTATCGATTGAAATATTATAATTAGGTAGACGGGCTAAATGAACATTTTGATCTAATTAGAAGACTAACTTATATTAAAGGTTTTTGTCAACTTTGTACATTTTTCATTTTTTTCGTACATAATAATTAATAGTACATTATTCATGGTGTTAAACTGTAATGTATATTTGTTTTGTCCAATAAATAGTCTTTGATTTTTTATGGTCAAAATTTTTATTTTAACTTTGACTTCATTTTATTTAAAATATATTTTATCATAAAAAATACATAATGTTGGAGGGAAAATGGGTTAGGCGCATATTCACTCAATGCATCTTGGCTTACATGATTGATTTGTCCACCAGAACACCACCATTTTCCCCATCTCTAATCCTTATTTCTTGGTTAATTTTACATAAATTTTTTTTTCTCTTGATGCTCTAAAAAAGATGGTTCAACCTTCAAGCAATCCACTAGTTGAGACGTCAGACTGTGGATTGCTGTTGGAAGTTACTGAATCTATGATTTTGGTCAATCTTCTTCATTGATTTGATAGCTTTCTAAAAACCATTTTGAGCAATCCCATTTCGTAATTTGTGCACTTTAGACAAGGAAGGAAATAAGATGATCTATTAATAAATGATAAGTCTAATCAATTAAAAAAAAAATTTTTACAAAAAAAATTTAATTAAAATTTTTTTACAAAAAAAATTTAATTAAAATTTTATCGATGATTATTTGTTAAAATTATTTTAAATATATGACCTGTAACCATTTATCATATATTATTATATGTAATATATTTTATCTTGACCTAAAAAATTAAATAAATTATCTACTCGTATTTTTTTCTTAAAAAAAAATAAAATAATTTCACGTTTATGAGTTGAAGATTAAATGTTAGAAAAGAATTCATTCTTCCAATTTTTGAGAAAGGTTCCTAATCTAATTTAAAGCTAATTTTTGGAGGCTGTTGCATATTGTTGGTTGGGACAATATTGGTTTATTGTTGGAAGAAAATAATCTAGGTTGAAACAATGTGCTTTATGTTGATTCAGGAGACAATATGAAAGGTTTATATGAACCCTGAATTCACGACAGGCATGGAGCTGAGGAAACTAGGTGGAGGATGATGATTAATGGTGCTGTTTATGGAAAGAAGGCTAATTGCTGATTCACTGATGACAGAAGAGATTGTCTTCAATGCAAGGTATCCGTTAGCAAGGACAGTGAGTCCAGAACAAATGTAACCAAGCCGACCGACCAAGTCTGATGGCTTTCCGTTTGTAGTAGACCTGATCCATGCAAAATGACCTGTTTGCTTGTCAACAATCAAGGAGCTATCGCGTGTGGCTTTTGTTGTTGTAAAAATGTTGGTTATGAATATGTTAATAGAAGTCAAAAACCTTGTTACCCAAAAGCAATGCTTTTGCATTCTTAAAACATCCGGTCAAAAAGTTACAAATAAACTAAAACCAAATATCTTATTTTGTATAGAAAAGTTTATCCACACCTAAATGCCCTGAAAATAAACAAATAAATAAATAAAAAGCTTTAAAATAGTTATTTCCTCGTATTTACTTATTAGTCAAAAAGAAAATTGGAAAAAAAAAATTTTTTTTTTAATAAGCTTACCACTTAAGGATACACCGGCTTCTGGTTTTCTGGTGAACCCTAGGAGGCTTTGGCATGAGTAAATGAATAGCTTATCTCTATGACACCAGAAGTCTTTGGCATGCATGATGGAGTGATGTCTTCAGAAAAAATTCACTCACCAATCACCAATGTCTCCCTTGAGAGCTACCAATTTTCTTCTTTCCAAAGAAGGCATTCTTGGGTTTAGGTAGGTCGTGAATGTCCATCACTTGAATTGTTCTTTGCCTTTTGGCTTCAAAATGCGCACAAAATGCCAGGGCAAAACAATTAGTATCAACATAGATGGGCAACCATGGAAAGTGGAACAAAAGTAAAAAATCAAACCATTTTCAGCTTCTTTGTAATTTTCTTGAAGCCTTTTTCTGGCTGAAGCCAGTCTTTCAGAGTCCAAGTTGATTTCCTTTTGTTCTCTTTGTCTCTGCAAAATACCAATCAAGAAATAACTATTTACTCATGGTAAAGCATAGCTTCACAGTTCTTAAGAATCATATGCTTCAGCAATATGGAATATGCCACAACACCAGTTTCTTAGAAACAAATAAAAAGTTGTTTTCTTTTTTGAAAAAAAAGAAGCATGACACACAAATACACGAGCTCGCATGTACAACTAAAGGCTCTAATTTGGCATGTAGAGACACCATACATTTAGTACAACAGGGGCTGAGTAAGTAGGTTTAACTGGAGCTTCTTTTCGAGGGGGGACTGACTTCTGTTTCCTTTGTGGCTCCGAATTATTCTTGTCTGAGCTAGAACTCCCATCTGTCAATTGTCACCCCAAAAGGCAATAAGAAAAAAGTTAATGAATCAAATGCATAGAAGAAAGGAACAAAGACCAAATCCAACTATGAATTAGATTTTACTCACTGTGTGGATTTGGAGAGTACGTAAAGTCAGGAACCTATTAAAGAACCAAATCTTAGGAAAAAAAATCATAGATAGAATCCTCAACAATGTTTATAACAAAAGCAATCAACAAGAAAAAATTCCTTTCACCTGGTGGTAACCATTTTGAGGAAGTTTTTGCTGGGGCGAATCTCCATCAACTGCCAAATATTATTAATTATCATTGTAATGTAAATGCAAATAGATAAAAAAAAAAAAAAAAAGATTGAAGATTTTAAAGCATTTGATTACTTAATTTGCAAGCCGTTTTATAGATAATTTTCAATGAAAAATTATTGAAATTGTTACAAGCTACTTTACATGTTTAGTTAGCACTATTGTAAACTTTTTATGGTTGACCCCATATCCTCAATCTTACTATGTAACCATGTAAGTATTACTTAACATTTCTTCTATGCCAGTTTTTCTAACTCTTACTAGATGTATAATTTCTATAAAATCGTATTCTCTTTTTTCCATAAAAAAAAAAATCAATTCAGTCTTTATTTAATTTTCAGCAAAAAACTAAACAGGTTTTACGAGAAACTGAAAATTCAGCACTTTTCAGCATTGAGTTTTGAAGTTTATCGAACAGCACCTTAATCTCAACTCATCTTCATTTCAGATTTGAGATTTTTCTCACTTAAAAGGATAAGAAAATTTTTTTACGTTAAACTTAGATGATAATTTTACCCATAAGTGCAGAGGATTCTAGTTCTCCAGGTTGATTCAACTTCACCCATTCATCAACAATCTCTTTCCATTTCCTGGAAAACAAACAACAGAATCATAACGCTGCTTTCAACTGCTCTTTCAACATTCACACATCCTGTCCAAGTAAAAAATAAATCACAGCAGAACATTTATACATAGAATCCATTGTTTTTGGTCTTTCAAACCTGACAAGTTGCTTTACTAATCTCCTTACGTCATTTGATGAATGTTTCCTCAATTTGTTCACATGCCTCCCAATATCAGTTTCCTGAAGGAAACAATTGTAACATGAGAATAATCATGAGGTAAAACAAAATAAGAGAAAAGGAAATTTGTCCCAAATCATTACCTTGAGAGCTTGGAATGTTATGTCCAAGTCTGCCAAACTTTGAAGCAAATCAATCAGAGAATCTTCAGACTGGAAAACACACAAGAATCAAAAGGACATCCTAAAAGCCAAACACAAACTCATCAACATTCACAGACTCAAAACAAAAATTTAAGCAAAGACCTGATTAGGTTCTTCAAGATGCTCCTTAATTTCAAGAATCCTCTTCTGCTCATCATCAAACAAGCCTCCATATGGATCCAACTCATCATCCACATTATCTGACTGTGGTGTATTAGGTGACACACCTCTTCCTTTATCTTCATGGTTACTCTCTCTCCTCATATCAGCTTTCACTTCAAAATCATTTGGTATCTCACCAAAATCACAGTTTCTACATCGAGTAACCATAGAAGTTGCATAAAGCCTCTCCACAATTCTATCTCTCCGTTGCTGTAGCTCCTGTCCATAATCCAATGAAGCCACCAGGATAGCTGTGTCAATAAAAGTCCAAATATCGACCTCAGCAGTTTCAAGAACTGATCGGAAATCATCTAAATCCATCAGATTTTGATAGCAAGCGAAAAGAATTGATTTTGTTTGATGACCTCCTACAATGGGTTCTGAATGTATTCTGATAATTTCAGAACTGTTTCAAGGTATTAAACAAAGATTGGAGCTGCAAAAAGGAAACAGATCTAAGATTACATTTGATGATCTAAATTCATATTAACAGTCAGAATTTGATAAAATTAGGAATACCAATCAGAAGTCTGGAAAGAGCAGTAAAATTGTATAAGAAAGAAACTCCAAGTTCAACCAATAAAACACCAGCCAATACTAACAAAAATATGAAGAAAAGGATCTAACTGAAACAAAACACACCTTTAAAAAAAAAAAAAAAACCAAAGCTCACAAATAATCCTTTAAGTCATGTTAGAAATAGGCCTCAGTTCCTTTACCGACAACTAGTTTCAGCCTTTGGCAACACATGTAAGGTGAATGCTTGTTGGGTTAATTTATGATGCAAAAATTTTCCTTCATGAATAAAACTGGATTTTCCATTCTCATCATCCACTTTAATCTCAACCTACTCATCTCAACAATCTTATTCAATGCCAAATTGTTAAATTAAAAAAATGTCCACATATATTAGCAATTATTTGGTCTTCTCTGCATTATTACAGGTATCATAATCACAGTGCAAAACTTAACCAGTGATACATGCCCAAATTTAGACTCTAGGCTGTAAGTTACGGAAAGTTCAGAAAAATATCAAAATAGACCTCATTTTTCTAACTAACAAGATCCATGGACAGCATAAACCTTACCAATTACCCAGAAGTTCATGAATAATTACTCATTTCAACAAGAAATGTTGATTTCCTCATATATCCCATCACACAAAATTTTCATTTAAAGAAAAAAGAAACAAATATAATCATCAGATATTCGAAGCTTTTAATGTACAAAGAAGAAATACTCGAATCTTTGAAAAAGAACGAATGACATCAACTGATAAACAATGGCAAGTTAATCTTGCACTTCAAAACTACATGATAACCAAATATCTAAATTATATAGGAGATGGACTGTCTTTTCCCCCCTTAAATTTTGTATTAAACATGGTAGTAGTATGAGATAGATACATTAATGAAAAGACCTGCTTGAAAGGGAAATTCCTGATTGTTAATGCACAACTAAAATTAGTAACCATACTAATCATTATGACTTAATTATGCCCTTCTTTCCGGATGTATCTTCTTTCGAAAATATAGCAAACAACCACACGAGAGATAAAAGAATGGCAGTAACTCATTTTTCCTTTATCGGTTGGATGGCATCAAACTCAATCAAGAGATTTTATATTTAAGAAGTTAGCATGGCAAGTACTTCAAACTGATCTTTGTCTATACTATTAAAAGATAAACCTACTCACTACCATCCTGATATGCCATTCCAACATAATGGGTAAATAAGGGTAGTAAAACAATATCCAAAAATATATGGATTATTAGCCTATACATTTGTGATAAGTTTAAAAACTTCACAAACGTGTTTAAACGGTTGCCAGGTAAATTTAAGTAATAAATAAAGAAGCCAACACTGAATTATCAAGTTAACATACAGTTTGGCCACTAAACTAAATTAACATATTGGGTTAAATGTAGAGCTAGCAATTTTAAATACAACACAATGATAGGACACAAAAACAATAATAAGAAAAGACATATTGGTTAAAAATTTTAGCAAAGGTAGATTTGACAAAAACCAAAAATTGTGTTCCATATTTGACATATGAACATGAATTGTGACACAATAATTTTCATATTTTATACATGTTTGACAAGAAATAGAGGCTATACAAATACACAAACTGCCAGGTCTAGTTAAATGGAAACATAACAAGTGTATGAACCAATTCAGAAGAATTTCCACTTGGGACAGTAGCAGCAACAATAATTACAAAAATCGATATACCAATAGAAACAGATAATTCAAAAGTACAAGAGAAGCATAACTGGGGCAATAGAAATAACAGACATACAGATAAAATGGTTTGCTAAAATTGAACTCAAACCATAGCATTTCCCATTGGTTTGTTTTTTTCTTTTTTCAAATTTTGAAAGAAATAAAGTTTATCAGTGATTTTCTTGTTGAGTAAAAGTAAGAGGAGCATTGAAAGAATCATCATTAAAAAAGGGAATAAGGGATATGATAAATTTATTAGCAGAGTACACAGCAGACCTCTCCAACCCCTCTTTCCCTTTTACCTCAAACCCCCCCCCCCCCCAAAAAAAAAAAAAAACCTATTACAATTAGAGAAAAATAATGAGATTAAATCGACTTTTGATTAAAATCTTGAAAGATTAAAGCAAATTCACCTTTGGCTTAAGATTTTGGATGAAGCAGAAATCTCTTCTCCCCTATTATAAGAATAATCTGATGAAAACTATGAAAATTTTTTATAACAACACAGAGAAAAGGAGTTAAAAAAAAAGTCAGTTTGGGAGTTTAAGTATAAGGTTCGGGAGATCATAAAAAATGGAAGGGACTGTGAAATAATGTGGGATTTTTTATATAAAACAAAATAAAATAATAAAGCTTGCTTAAGGAGGGTATGGAGGGCCCTGTGCCCAGTAGCAGAATTGCTGGGAGAATATTGTTCGTGGGTGGGGGGAAAATTGTCGTATATAATCCGACTCTGATTTTGCTTTATACAATGAGTCGGTGGCCACTTGTTTCCGTCATCCAATTTGCGCCTGCTGTAATTCTTAAATAAATAAACTGTCCCACTTAAAACACCAAGTCATTGTTTTTAACGTTTATAGGGTAAATTTAGATTTAATAATTTGTATATTTATATTGTAATTATTTTATGTTAAATATATAAAATATAAAAATTATTATATTATAATTTATATTAATATGTTAAATATAAAATATATTTTTTAATTTTAATTAAATAATTATTAAAATTTTAAATTTTATTATTTTTATATCATATATTATATTTAAAATTATAAAATTTATAACCTCTACCTTTAGTTTTCTTAACTTCTTTTTCAAGTATCATTTTTTTTTCTTCGTTAACACTTGCGAATAAATTTGGTTTCCGTAAAGAGTACATTATTACTTTTAAGTGATAATAGTTTTACTTGATTTTCGTTAAATTAATTGATATAATCGTTGATTATACTAATACGATGTTGACTTTAATAATGTGATATTGATTTGTTGATATAACAATTAAAATTAATTATTAAATTATGTAAATGATTCATATATTTATACGAATTAAAATTTAATTTTTATATTAGCATGAAATTTAAAATTTAATCTATGTATTCGCATGAAATTTGAAATGTAATTTTTATACTTGCACAAAATTTAAAATTTAGTTTCTTTAATTCAACAAAATTTAAATTTTTTAATTTTTTAAAACATTAAATTTAAAAATTGCTACAATGCTCTCTCATAATATTCTATCACAATATTTAGTCACACGTTTCATATATTATCATTAAATCTGTCACAATTTTTGTAACTCATATAAAATGTTATTATTAGTTCTATCCCTATTTCTTATTAAATTTTGTCATAAAATATGAATTTGTTACTAATTTTATCACAATTTTCTATAATAATTGTAATATATTATGGCCATATAAAAAATCTTAAACCAATTTATAAAAAATCCATCACAAGTTTATATACATATGATACAAATCTATCACTATCTAATTTTATTAAAATTATTATTTTTTTATTTAATTTATCTAATGAATTAGAATGAAATTATTCATAAAATAATGTTTCTATTTCTTTAAATTAAATACTATTTAAATATTTTTTATAATCAAATATAGATTCAAGATTCTAAATACATTAAAATAATTTACTAAACTTAATTTGTATTGGTTTTAAAATTAATCTTATTATTTAATTTAACATAATTATTTAAATTAGTTTTTTTTGTGAAGACCCAAAAAATTAAAAATTTTTGTTATAATACACAATATTGATGTTTTAGTTTATCAAATAAATCATTTCTTCCTTTTGTTTTGTTATAATTTAAAATTTGTCTTTCAAATAAATAGAAGCTTGTCTTTAGTAGGAATTTAAGTTTAAATTTTTTATTTGGTTTGGCTGGACAGAATGATTATTTTATTCATGATCTATTTCGGATTCATTATAAATGCAACTCTATTTAATAGTTTAGTTCATTATAAATTTTGTTACATGATATATTTATATTAATTAAAATAATATTAATTTTGATATATTAATTTAAAATTTTAATATTATAATTGATTAATAAAAATGATAGTAATAATAATATTATTATGATATTATTAATAATTAATTATATATAATAAAAAACTAATATATTAAAGGAACTAAAATATTTTTAAAAAACTAAAAAATTCAAAATATTTTAAATTTTATGCAAGTATAGAAAATAAATTTTAATTTTCGTATGAATACAAAGATTTTTTACATAATTTAACAATTGATTTCATCAATTCCAATTGTCATGCCAATAAATTAATGTCAAGTCAATATGATCAATGGTTATGTCAATTAATTTAATGAAGATCAATTAATATTGTTATCAATTGGATTAACATTGTTAAATTAAATAATATAAGGATCTAATTTTTATAAATATTGTATCAAAATTAAAGTTCAAATTTCATATAAATACAAAAATTAATTATATAATTTGATCAAAAAGATATAAAGCGTAGTTACCCTTGTTTTTATTAACAAAAAGCAAAATGAGATATACAAATCTTTTATATTTGTTTTTCCTCTACTAAACTAACCAAGAGATTTGTATTCTAAACAGAGAACGCCTACGAAGCGTAAAAGCGAACAGACTGATCGATGGACTCAATCCTGTCCATTCTACAGCCCAACTACTCACATTCAAGGTATATCCAAGAATTGTTAAACCCCTAGAGTACAATTTTATTTATTTTGTTTTTTATGGATAGTTTAAAATTTTTTATTCAAAATCCAAAAAGAAGTAGATAACTGCTATACATGCTTTAATTTGTTGGTTGATAAGAGAGGTCAAACCATTGCAATTCTAACTTCGTTGGTTTATACTATTTTTTTCATTAAAAGAAAAAAAAAACAGTATCCTCCTCCGAGCCCACCTACAAATCCTAACTGCCAAAAACTATTTGTTCTCAGAGCATATGCATGGATTCATGCATAAGCTACAAATAAACCAGACATGTCTGAGAATGCAAGCAATATTCCAGACTTTCAGATTTTTCAACCTTAGATTACACAAAAACACCCAGCTTACTTTAGCTCCCCTTTCATTGTCTTCTCTACCAGAGCGTAATTGATTAATTTTCTAGATTACTTCGCCAGGCAGAATACAGAGAACACCAGAAATTCTGCAAGCTGAAAAGAACAGATTGAATTAATTGTAGACAGTCATCATAAGACAATCTTTTGGAAGACCAACTATTAATTCTTTTAACCAATTTCTGGATGAGAGGATCACTGATATTACAGAGCTCAGTAGTGAACCTAACCGAGTCACCAACGGCACACCAAGTTACCTAACAGGCAAGGTACCAACTACCAAGTTTAAGTCCAGTACTTTCGGGAATATCAGAAAAAAAAAAAAAGGATCCAAATCGCCTGAGAAATTCTCTGACTTTGGACTGTTGAGCTGGAGACCAGACGTGGAGTAAAACTACTACAAAATAGCAAATAAACCCATAATAAACTCCTTAGGTCTTCTGCAAAACATAAATGAGTCAAAGCCACCCTCTTCCAACTAGGATGACAACCAAATTTCTTCTTCACTGCTGCATCATTCAAAAGAGAAGATAAAACATCCATAACAATAAAAAGCAGATAAGGAGAAAGAGGATCTCCTTGTCTACCAGAGAAATAGCCTAAAAATCCACCATTAACAACAACAGAAAATATTGGAGTAGTGACACAAGCACTAAGCTAATTAAGAGACTTAGAAGGAAAATTAACTCGTAAGAGGAGCAAGAATAATAAACAACTCCAACAACCAAAATTTATGTACAAATATCATGCAGAATTAGTAAAGTTTTATTTAAATGGAAAGAGAGAGTTATCAGATATATATAAAACAAGGCAAATCAATTTAATTTAACCATGATCCAAACAATTACTGCTAACCCTCATTCACCATTTGGCTCTACTCATGACCATATTCTCTCCAGTGCCTTTGCCTTGTCAATTAGTTGCCCCAATTCAATCTGACTTCCCAAACTTTGAGCTACTATTCGTCTTAGTTGCATATGACTACATTCTAAGGATTTTCTTGGCAGCAGACAAGTTTCTTTTTTTTTTTTTTCCATTTTGTCTCACTCATACTTGTAACTTCCCAATTTCTAGTAGAAAAGATGCAAGTTCTTTTTCAATCTTTAGTTTCTATACCATATTTCTATATCTATTCAACTAGACAATTTAACTTGTAGGAACCCCGATCACCATGTCAATATAAACTGAGGTTGAACCAAATAGCAATCAATATGAACTTACTCAAAAACCTAAACACTATGATGTAAAAAATGAATGACTTATGGATCACCTAAAGACTATCCTAATTCCACCTCACTTTTACCTTTCTATTTATACCCAAATGAAGTGACAGTTTGCTGGTTTTCCTTGATACCACTTCATATGATAGTACTAGTAGCTCCTGTATCAAATTCAAACGTAGTTGCAAGGGTATGGTAATCTTGGACAAGCAGCTCTTTTTCCATAGAAATATAGGAAGAGCTTCCCCTATTCAAAACTGGGGAAGATAATTTTATAATCAAATGCTGGAAAAGGCATATAAATTCAAGCCTTTTTTTTTTTTGTGCACCAATATTGTCACTTGGAATTGAGAATCTAAAGGAGGCAATCAACTCCTTAATTAGTAATTGTATCTAAAAAAACTCCTTAACTAGTAATACCTATATGAGTTTATTACATTTTTAACACCTTACCATTAAGAAATAAGAAATATTCAAATTATTTATTTTTTTTTATAAAAAAAAAACATAGTTTGAGGATAAAAAAAAAAAAAATGTTGAAATTTTAATTTAAGATCTACTAAATATTATCTTTTAAAATAATTGTATAAATTAATTGAGTTAAATTTTAAATTCAAATTTAATTATTTGAATAAGTTGATACATGCACTTACAATTGAAATCAAATGCTCAATGGCTTGTGTTTATTTGTTGGGTTCCATAGAAAATGACAAGTTACGGACACCACCTTGTTCAAAACACACTTTGGGAGATGTCGGCATAGCCCATACTTTATTAAATATAAGCATGGCAGCATCTAATACTTAAATTTTGATCATGTACTGAAGAACATGTTTGAGTTTTAAATCACGTCATTTTTTGTCAAATTTTTTTATATTTAATAAATATTTTTTTTATAAATTTTATTTTAAAAATGAGACCCATTTTATATCATACTTTCTTTTGAGGTTTTTTTAATCTTTCCAAAGATAAAAAATATTATGTTTGTAAATAATTAAGATATAATCCATGCATTTATCTATTTTTTATATAAATTATATTTATTTTGACTTTTATTTCATCCTCGTTCAAAATGTCAATGTGATATCTTTTTTTTTTTTTAATTTTTGCCATTTTTTATTTTAATTTAAATAAATTTGTAAGAAAAGCCCAATTTAAAAAAATATTTTTTAATTTTTTTAAAATCAAAATCAAATTGAGAAGGGTTGCACTTTTTAACGAGAAACGAAAACAAAATGAAATCGTGTTCAAGATTATCTGTAATAACTCATTTCAAGATATATATAAAAATATTTTTTATTATTAATTTAATTATATATTTTAAATTATTTTAATATTTTAAATTCGATAAAAATGTTCAAATGACATTCTCTATAAACGTGTTTTTATTTTAAATTTTTTTTCCGTTTATCGTCTCTGTCCCCTTTTTTTTTTTTTAATTTTTTGTTAAATAAATTTTATAAGAATATAAAACCAATTAAAATAGCCACATATCATCCTTTTTATTTTTTTTTTTACCTTTTATTAGTTTTTAATTAAGTAAATTTTACAACAACAAAAAAGTGATGAATAAGGATGCCAAAAACAAAAAACCTGTCGCCCAAGACACCGCTAGGGCATCACACCTAGTATAGATGAAATTTAGTCTACCAAAATTGCGATACAAATACAGGCAAAAAATCCAAGAAATGACACCTAAATGAATGTAATGGTTAAAATATGGGATATAGTAAGAGAAGAAGATTTTTTCTTTCTCTCATATTAATAGCTCCGTACTGTAAATACATGATACAACTAGTAATCAAGTTCACCTGGAACAGCCTCAGCAATATGTTAAAACCAATCTTAGCTCCTAAAATTTAGGTATCAACAATGACATTCTCAGGTAAAATAAGGAGAGAGGAATTATGAGTAGACGATTCACCTATTCTCTGATCAATAAGAAAGAATATATCAAGGAAAAAAGGAGGAAATGAAAGAATTAAGGTCATTTAAACTGGGATGAATACCAGCTGCGCATTGTATCTTCGTAAAAATGCCTTCTCAGATGCATGTGAGGCCCTATATCTGTGCAATAAGGAGTTCATTCCATGTGTCTGGTACACCGGGTAGGCACCAATGCAAGCAATCGTTGATACCCTGAGTTGGTCTAATGCTTGAATCAGACACGTGAGCTTCATCCCTGAGTTCAGAAATAGCAGTTATATCCAAAATCTTTACCTTTGTACCCCTAACAGCACTCTCAACAACTTTGTCACTAGACTCATCCTGCGAGACCTCACTGCCTCCAGTTAAAGGAACAGTATTATTGCAAGTACCTCCAGTGTTCCAATCTCCATTATGGAAGTGCCTTGGAGAGATTGTTCTAAAGAAAGCTTTCAGTCGGGGGTGTGAGAGAAGTTGTGAATCTAGCCACCTGACAACACTATGCACTGTGAAATTCTTGGCATTCCTTATATCTTCAAGTTCTTTATTCTCATTGGGCTTCCCATCCACATGCATCACCCAACGGTTTGCTGCAAGCTTCCCTCTGTTCCAGTGATGACCCGTGTTGAGAACTAATACATCAAATCGATGAAGGAATCGTCTTAGGAAAGATGGTGGACGGTCCAAATGCATGGCAACATCAGAGGCTGGGTCTATGCTGTTAATAGGCTCCAGGTCAGAGAGGCTAGCTGACCAGTAATATAAAATGGTGGTATTTGTATTTGGGAACCGATAAACCCATCCATCAGGACGTTTGGCTCCATGAGGTTTGACAAGCCCATATTCCCTTGCAGCATCTTCAACTTCTGGACTGTCTTCCCCTCCTGAGGCCATACACATCATGGATTGGAACTGTTGCCTGCCTAACGAGTCTCCTATAAATGCAATTGTTTTATCCTGCATTCTGAAACTTAGAGCCATGGTTAGAATAAAAAAAATAAAAGAGTACCTACGATTAGAGAATTTTAAAAAAATTAAAAACCTGAAATTTCTGATAACCCTGATAAGTTAAGACAGTAGTAAAAGAAAATGCATCACAAAACAAGGAATTTCCAGCTGAGTAGTGAAGAAAGAACCACAATCTAGGCAATGCAGAAGCAGGTGATGTAAGACACTGTTAGCATCATTAATCTTCATTATTCTTAGTTTTTCAAAATATCTTGAACTTCCTCTGCAGTGAATACTGAGATTTGTTTAGTACTTTAAAAATGAATAAGATTAGCAACATGAGAGACTAAGGAGACATTTCCTTTTGGCAGAAAACTTTTCCCTTGCCATAGAGAGGACAAAAGAAAGCAGGGGAGGGTGACTGCCGTCCTGAAAACAGCAAAAGTTCATCAAGAAAATCTCTTTTTCTTTTTCTATTGTGACAAAGCCTCCTATAGGAACGATAAAAGATAATCAGATTGACCAATTATTTACATGAAGATGACTGGACCTCGGTAACTAGTTTCTAACCATATTAAAGAACATAAAGGAGAAAAAAGAGAGGAATAATATGTAGGGTAATTACAAAAAATTACATAATACCTTCTCAAGAATGCAAACCGCTCAAACTCTGATATTTTACAATTCTTGGGCTGCCATCTATATGCCTCAAAAGAGAAGTCTGTCCGTTGGGTAAGTCTGCAAGCCCACATTCCTGATAACCACCGTTTACATCCAATCCCAGAATAAAATGGCTGCCGGCTGTCAGCAACCCATCTACCCTTGGCATAATTGCAATCTGAGTTATCAAAAAGTGGAAAAACTCTTTAGAGATATAGAGACAAATCCTAAAGATGCATGAAAAACTTAAATCTGATGCACTAAAGCTTCTCAATAAATTTAACAACTTAAAATATATATAATAACATCAAAGACTGCAATTAATGCACCATTAAGGGAGCATAGAAATTATCAAAGAAAAAGAAGAAAAGAAATAGTAGTAAGAAAAATACAATGTAGATATTTCAGAATCTCCTATTTTCTTAGTAGTAAGAAAAATACCATGAAGATATTTCAAAATCTCCTATTTTCTTAAACTTCTGTAAATTTTATTTAACAATTTTCCATATAATTTAAAATATTATTATGTTATTTTCTTTATGCAAGCCATTAGTTGCACAAGAAGAAGCATTATGCCCTATGTTAAACATTGGCCTCTTTGAAATATTTGTTTAGCTAGAATTGCATTCACTAAGGGATATTTTGTGTTTTATCTCATTAGGAATATACTGGTTCTACTTCACTTACACTTCATTTTAGGTTTTTCTAGATGACACTCAAATCATAATACCATTTCAAAAGATGAAGCAAGGAACTCTCCTTTTTTTATTCTTTGCATCCAGGGTTATGTCCTGGATCATTAGATAAGAATCCAAAGGTGAAAAGAAAAACAAAGAAAATCACTACAGTGTAAATTTTCACCTATTACAGGAGAAGGTTATTTATCAATTCTGACCATATTCTGATTTCTGAGTCATGTTCATACATTCCAGGAGAAATTCATTAATCAGGTTTATAGTATGAAATCTAAGTTTCCTTAAACACAAGAAAGCTAGAAGACTTTCTAGGTCAATTAATAATGAGCACACAAGTTTATGCAATTTTATCCATCAAAATGAGTTTTTGACTCTTGAAGGACCTCAGAACTGATGCCAGGAATATTACTTCCCTCCTTTTTACTAATCTTTCTGTGTTTTTGCAACAAGTTCATTTTACTCTGATATGAAACCACAGCCCCTCCAAAAACTTTAGATATGCACATAATTAACACTAACGGGTAGCCGTAAATTCCCCAATTTAGCAGCTGAGCAGATTTAGCGCAAATGTCGGTAAATTTCAAGCAAACCAGGCATGAAAACTGAATCTTTTAAATTCCAATCATGCAAAAACACTAATCAACTCTTCCCCTAACAATGATTCAAAAGTGCAAGGCTTTGACAAACACATTATTAATTATATGCACCCTGTATCTCACATTTACTACCTCCAACTTTTAAAGTGATCTAGAGAGAGATAAAGAAGAAATGGAAAGCATCAATTATCAGTACAAATTAGATATAATCTAGTTGCAGCCCCATGATCCCCCAATAACATAGTTAAACCTCATAGGAAATAGACTTGTATCCTTTCCGGCTCATTTAATAATCAAAAACCCACATTTCCCAAGATCACCCATTTGATTTTGGATCTCAACCATTTTAATAAAGGTTTTGGAAAAGAAGTTCTATTCAGTTCCAATTACAATGGCAGCCAATGCACTTCTCTCACCCAAGTCTAGGTCAAGAAAATTTCACTATTACTGGCTTAGCTTCCCACCAAAAAATTTTTCCTTCTCAAGTACATCTTTGCAAGTCATCATAGATTTCCCTTGAAAGGGCCTGGTCTTCTTACCGCCCATTGGAAATAAAATAGGAGAAAATCGAATCATCAACTAAAATTAAAATGGCAATGAGCTATAGAGCTATAAAGTACATTTACAAAAATCTTCCCTAAAAGAATTGCATAACTAAGCCTCAAGTGTAGCCAGCATTTCATGGTTCAACTACTTCTAGGACTTTCTAATTCAATTATGGAAAGTTTGTCAAGTAAACACGCTAGTTATTTCTATAGTAAATCATTTATAGTCAGCAGCTCTGCTTAAAGTTCAATGTGACTTCCACCACCAAGTTATGGTAACCGCTGTCCAAGTTAAGAGATTACAATGGAATGCTAAAACTAATTAAACAAGTTTGATTAAAAAAACAAAAATATGAAATAAGTTTATTATGACACAGAAACAATTCAGCACTTGCATAACAAAGCACTATGTGTTACTTGTACTTGGGGGGCTGAGTGTCAGATATGGGTATGTGTCCGATGCTGGCACATGCAATTTTTTTTTTTTTTTTTTGAGTTTTTCCACAATTTGGAAGGTTGGAGCTCCATATTCATGTGTGTAGGATAAGTATCGGACATGGGTACTACAAGGAAAATGAAGAGTTGCAGCAACATAAGCAAACCAAACAACAAATTGTTGGTCCTAATACAGACAGGTAAAAGCCAACTCTACCAACATGCTTATTCTGCAAGTTAGTCTAGTCAGGAGCTCAAACAAGCATTTAAGAAGAAGTCCAGTCAAATAAATTAGTTGAGTTTGCATAAAAGAGAGATGGAACATTTTTTTAAAAAGACAGCTACTTCATTCTCAACCTGCATTTGTGGAGGATAACTCCTCAGCATCATTATCTTTAACTTCAGAAGTGAACGTGGTTATAGATGTTGATGAATAGGCATTACGATGTTCTCCTGGCCTTTCTGCTTCTTTTGTCAAAATTGACTTATTTACTTCCTCTGTATGCCCTTTAGGGCTCCTGGAAACTGACGAATTATTTGGTGCATCCGCAAGAAACTCTAAGTGCAGCAAGAAAACTTAAAAAGTCAAAGAAGAATTTATATTAAGTTTAGAAAAATATTGTTGAATTCAAATATTTCATACATTAAATATCTAGTAAACAATTGATCAAAATGAATCAAATATGACCCAGCAGCAAGATTGTGGTGTTAAGCTAGCTACTTTTGCAATCTTTAGTATCCATAAGGCATGCCATATAGCACACGTTTTGGACCATTTACTCATCCTAATGAAAACATACTCCCTAAGTACCAACCAGATAGAATCTATATCATCCTAACAGTTTTCTATTAGCATCTGATTTGATTTTTCCCAATTAAAAGATATAAGGAAATGAAAGTTAAAGAATCAAAGGCACTAATATTATGACTCAGCTATTTTGCAGTCGTATACATGGACATATAGCTCAATGACTGCTACAAAAAATTATTATATTGTCCAAGAATAGTAATCTTTTCTTTTGATCTATTTCATTTTAACTTCTTGACAAAAGCATCTAAAATTCACAATCTCTAAACTAACAAATGCTATATTCACTTACTACACAAAAACATGAAAGTTTAATTGAACAATCAAAGAAATCACAAAATACTTATCAATGAACCTCACAAAATGTGATTCATACTAATGAGGCAAGCCCCGTGGGATTCTCTTCATCATATAGCCCAAGGGTCATACTTTCCATAGAATATAACATTAATCATGTTATTTTCACCATCCCAGGTCTTTTTTGGGCAATCTCTTATGCCTTTTACACTTTTAATGCACTTCAATTCCATATTAAATTTCAATTCCAAATGCTTTCAAAGGTATTGGAACCAAACCATTTCCAAAAACTAAAGTTCGTCTTCCTCTTCCCCACTTAGTGAAATCCAAAATTTATCATATATTCCTACTGCTAGCGTTCCACTCATTTGTCAAACCACAACATTGCTTCATCTTAAAATCCTCATGAAACATCATTGAGAATAACTAGCTAGCCGAACACCGGATTTGCAAGGATCAAAAGGGCACATAATTCTCTCTTATCTAAGGACTAAGATTCATCCCTTCCCCTCTTATCCTCTCTTTTTCTTTTTTCTTTTTTTTTGTTCTTTTTTTTTTCACATTGTTCTGTTTAAACAACTCCAATGTGTCACTAACTTAAATATTCCATTTTTCTTCTCAAAAAGTACCAAAAAAGAGTTAAATTTACATTGTTATAAAGTGCATCCCAGCTCTACCACTAAAGAAATCTCCATGGAAGACATTCAGATACAAAATTTACAAAGATATGCGAATTGGTACAGGTGGAGTGGAAAGGAAACAAACCTGAAGAAGGGAATCTAAAACTTTGTTGGGCTAATAAAAGGGTAGCAAGGAGAGGATTCTTCTCCCAAGCCCAAAGCATTATAGTTACAAAACCAAGAGTAAGAAGAGCAACAGAAACATGGGTTCCTTTCAGTATATGAAAATTGCATCCTTTCATCATTCTCCAACACCTTAAAATATAGTAACTTTAACCTTATCCAAGGAGGCGTCGGCTGTATTAAAAAGAAAAAGATTCAAGTAAATTGTTAATTACTAATTTAAAAGAAGAATGAAACAAAAGGAGATTGAAGAAGAAAAGAACTTGAATTTGCTCGTAGGCCTCCTCATTCTCAGTTTTTCTCTCTCAATGGATCTGCTGATTTTGATATTGAGAGATTGCCAGACAGAGACAGACCGACAGAAAGAGTCTTTTTTTCAATGATTTTTTAGCTTATAATTTGTGTATTTGTATGTAAAATATTAATAATTATGTATTTATTTAATGTTTTATATAAAATTAAATGTTACAATTTATATTAATATGAAAAATATAATATAATTTTAAATTTATTTATAATATTTATTAATTTTAAAAAATATTATATTTGTTTCTTTTATTCGTATATTAATTACCAGTTCTATTTTGAATTGACGGATGTAACACTTAGCTGACAATTTAAAACCAATAAAACTTCAACGCGTTTAAAAAGAATGAACTTTTATACGTGGCACAATTTTATCGGTGATAGAGAGTGTGAATAATAGAATCCAAGTACTCTGATTGGAAAGAAAACAAATAAATAATCCTTTCAGATTATTGTTAAGAAAAATATTCTTTTTTACCTAAATGGGTTGAGCCTAAGGGATAATTGAATCGAATCAATATAGTAAGAAGTTTGAATTCGAGTTTGATTCATAATTCATGATTAAATATTTGATTTAAATTCGATCGAATTTTATTTTGTAACTTCAAATTCGATTCATGATCGAATTTGAGTTATTCGAATTCGTTCAATTAAACTCAATTAATATATAAAAATAAATTCGATTCGTATACTCGATAAAAATTTAATTATTTATGCTCGAACTTAAATTCGAAATAATTTATTAATTAAAATAATAAAAATATATTTAAATATAAAAACTCGATTAAGCTCTTGAACTACTCGAATCGGATATAAGAATACTTGAATTCGATTCGATCAATAAATCAAATTACTCGAGTTCGAGTTCAACTCGATAATAATCGAATCGAATTTAAATTTTTTCGAATCAAATTCGAGTAGCTTGTGAGTACTAATATATCATTTATATCCCTAGTTGAACCTTTTTTATTTTTATAAAATTTTAAAAAAATATTTTAATATATTTAATTTTAATTTTTTTTATAAAATAAAATTTTTATAATTTTTAATGTTAAAAATAAAAAGCTATAAAAAATAAAATTTTCAAACATAAAAAAAGAAAGAAAATAGGAAGTAATGAGTAGTACATTTCTTTCATAACTGATATTTAATCCAATAAAACTACGACGTGTGTAAAGAAAAAGAATTTTATACGTGGCACAATTCTATCGGTGATAATGATTGTGAATAATAGAATCCAAGTACACTGGAAGAGAACAAATAAACAATACTCTCAGATTTTTTACTTAAGAAAAAATAGTACATTTATTTCATAACTGAACAAACAAACTCACCCGTTAATGGTGATTAGAACTAATTAAATAAAGGTCAAATGACTTAATAACCTTCAATTCTGTATCATTTGCGAAATTAAGCCATCGAATTATGTCTTATTTAATTACATCCATCAAATTTGTTTTTCATCATTGTCTTTCACTGGTCATCTGATCTGAGAATGGGAAATCTAAATAAGTTTTTGCTAGATCCCGTGGCTGAAGTTGTTGGATTAAGAGATATTTTAGCTTTTTATTTAGATTGTGTAAAATTCAACAAACAACATCAAAATATAATTAAGTCTAATGCTTAATGACCAATATTTTTTATTATTTTATTTTACTTTTCTTACTAAGAGAAAAGTGAAGAAAGAAATTTTTTTCACAGTTTTGGCCTTGATCTTAGGTTTCTCGTTGACCAAAGTACAAAATCAAAATATAAATTCCACTAGCTTGATATCCTGCGATTATGAATTATTTTTATTTTATTTAAATTTAAATAAAAATAAAAATTAGTATTATTAAATTATTAACATGTTCAAAATATATATAAAATATAAATAATATAATTAAAATATCAAATCATAATAAAAATAAAAGTTTTAATTAACAAATTAATAAACTTTAAAATATATGATAAATAATATTGGAGGAAAAAAAATATCAAAAAGATATTATAAAAAAATTATTAATTACACCAACAAAATATTAAAATAGAAACTAAAAGTCTTATCACTTCAAATGAACTTTATTCAATTTGTATAGTCTTAAATTTTTTTTATCATTTTTATGCACTTACAAATTTATTAATTTTAAGATAAATTTTATTTATTTAAGAGAAATAATAATTTTAAATGTTTAAATAATATACGTGATAATTTACTCTAATGTATGTATTTTTTTGTAGGAGTTTCAGTAATATTATAATCTTCAGCATCTATATGGCGTTCCAAATCTTTGTCCCTTTCAATTGTTTTGAGGTTGATATATAATACGAAATTATATTCCTGTAAAAGCTAAAATGAAATAATTTTAAATTTTAAATAGTAGTATTAAATTATAAACAATTATTTAAGCAAATTATTGACAAAAAGTTTTAATGAAATGTATTAAACTACTTACCTTTTATATTTTTTCAAGTAAATACCGACTCTCCTCTGCATAAAGTATCTCATGAACATGTGAAATAATCAATCTTGAACTTTCATGAAAAAAGTTGTAATCATTGAGTTCTACTTCAAAAATATATGAATGACCTATCAACTCTTCCAATATTTTTTCCACTTTGGCATCTCTATCTTCCTGTGAATGAGTTTTATATAAATTTAATTAAATAACATTGATATTCATACAAATTTAAAAAATTATTTTGAATATGATATAACCTCAATTTTCATTTGAAACAATTGTTCAACTGTATACTTTAGAATTTGATTAGCTTTTCCATTAAAAAGGACAAATGGTGCATTGCCAAGCTCGTCCGATACATTGACAATTAACTTGTACCTATGATGGAATATTAATAATAATCAAACTTACCTTCAATTGAAAAAAATTAAAAAAAAAGTAAATATCCAAACGATTATGTTTTAAAAGTTATTTAAAAATATTTCAATAAATTTTACTTAAATTGACATATAATGATGATGAAATTTAATGATACCTTATAACTGGAAGTTGGGTTTGATGTACACAATCCTTGCAAGCATAACCTCCATCAACTTCTAACACCTTTTTTCTATGCACTACACATGACAAATAATACCATCCATGCCTCATGTCGATTTGCATTATAGTACCTTGACAGGTAAACTTTTTCTTCTGTTGGTAGTAAAAATAAGAAGTATTTTTCTTAATTATAATACAATATATATTTAAATTGAAATATATTTAACTAAAGTCTATAATTCTTACCTTGCATGAATTGTTATTCATGATATGATAAATATCAGCTATTAATCTCCTATTTGCAAATAACATTTCTTTGGAAGATACGACTTTTTTTATTGGTGTCAGATACTCTTGGACTTGAGAATCACCAACAACTTGAGTGTATTTGCATTAGAAATTATAAATATATATTTTGTAAAATGCATTATATCATTTTTATGCTTCAATATTTTTTAAATAACTTTATATCTACTATTGATAAATATGTAAGTACCTATTTAGAATTATAGCAGCTTCAAGTATATCCAAATTCTTGTATACCTTTGTTGCTGATGTAGATGATAAATTGTATTTACCTAAATTAAATATTCAATATAAGAAACATTATTTAAATAATTGGGATTAAAACTAAATTAATTAAAATATATATTTTTTACTTTCCTCTAAATTGTTTGACAATAGTGGATGTCACAACCAATATGATAGTTTCATTATTGCTTGCTAAAATACTCTCATTAAATTGATATGCAACTCCACCCCAAAGAGCAATTTCCATTGAGTTTCCACTATGAGAAAAAAATCAAAATAGTTAATTAAACAATTAATTTCACATATGCATTATCTAATTAAGTATTTCTCAATACATACCTTGCATTTTTTATTTCTAATACCCTTTTATTTACCTTTTCATCTCGAACATCTTGATTCATGATTGAACTTATCTTGCTCAATTTTCCAATAACATCTTTAATAATCAAATAGTTTCAAAGCATAATTAGTCAAATTAATATAAAATGAAAAATTAAAAAGAATTATATAAAGTTGAAGTCAATGGACCTGTTAAATATGTTTTATTATGATAACGTGATTAAATAGCATCAAACTCCAGAAACTCAAATTTATGCAACTTAAGTGAACTATTCAAACCATTAACAATCTTGACAAATGTATTGGGTTTGAAGTAGACCATCAAATCATTTTTCATAGTTCGATAGGAGCCAGACACATTGCAAACTTTGAAATTATAAATCATGTAAATATTCCCTTCCATCAGTAGTGTACGATACTTGTCTGCCAAATTTTTGAATGCCATTGCATGAATATGATCATCTTGTAAAAAAAAAGAAAATGTTTATTGAATAATTTTATTAGAGATATATAAAATGAATAATCTATTATGTACAAATTAAGGTAAATAAAGCTTTCACATTGTCATCCAACAGAATCATTACCAAACCTATCACTCCTCCATTCTTATTAACATTCACAGCATCTCACATTCTAGTGATTCTTACTTTAACCTTCCCTTGGTCTCCAATTGTTGAAATATGTCATAAGTATTGGTAACCTTGCATCATGCCTTATAAGAAAAGAATGAAAATTTTGAATTATTTAAATATTAAATATAATTAGAATAAAAATGCACAAAATTTGTAAATATATGCATACATTAAATAATTAGATATTAAATCAAGTGTGTCATCCTTGAAAAACATCATCAAACACCTCAATTTATACAACATTATTTGTGCACGAATGAATATTATGATCATTGTTTTCAATTGAAAATTTTAATCCCTCTAGTGATGTTACTCTGGAAGCAACTACATATAATTGGCTATGAGTGAAAATCGATTTTCGTAAATATACACTGACATTTTCAAATATTTGTCCTTGACTCTTTTTTATGGTCATTGCAAAAGAAACTTTGATTAAGAGTTGTCTTCATGTTAGAGTGAATGGCCGTTTTGATTTTAAATAGGACATTTTCACTCGAGGGATGAACAATCGACTCTCTATATTAGTCTAAGTTATTGTCTCAGCATTAATTACCTTGTAGCCCAATTTTGTGACAGCTAATCTAGTATCACTGCAA